CCCCAAAACCCCAAAACCCCAAAACCCCAAAACCCCTGTGGGAATATATAATATTGAGTCTTAACTAATCCTAAGAAAAATAGCCTATTAATCCTGGGATCGGCCCAGAACTACTGAGCAATGATCTCTTTGACATACTCAATGCATTTATCAATGGCATGATTGGATTCCTTAAAGGCGATTGGACCTTTATTGAACATGATAAAGCCATGCATCTGGTGCTGGTAATCTACAGCTTCAATGTCTACTCCTAGCTTAGCCATCTTAATGATAAATGATAGACTGGTGTCCCTTAATGGATCATTTCCACTGATGATGATCCTTGTTGTCGGGAATTTTACCTTATCCTCTTTTACAATGATGTCTTCAGGTGCTAAGTTAGGGGAAAGCAAGAAATCCTTATCCCCACTATTTTTGGTGTCGTAACACTTCACTCAGAAATCTAACACTACTGTGTTTAAAATGTAATCATCCAAGGAATATAGCATCGACGGCGAGAAATGTGTCCTCGAGACTAGCATTGCAGGATAAATAAGGCTTAACCCTGTAGGAACCTTACAGTTTTTCAGAAGAGAAAGAAGAGTTACTCCAGAGCAAAGGTTACCTCCAGCAGAGTCTCCCACAAGGATTATCTTGTCGAATTTAAGCTGCAGGTACTCTTCTGCATAGTATTGAAGCCATAAGTAAACCATCCATCAATCACTAAGAGCTGTAGGATAAGCATACTTAGGTGCCAACCTATAATCAACACTAAAAATAGGAAACCCAGTTTCTTTATTCATCTTCCTCAGCAAAGGTTGATAAACACCTGTGCTTGTTGAGATAAACCCTCCTCCGTGGATAAAGAATATGATGCCTTCTACATAAGCTGGTTCGGCATCAGGATCACGTGGTTTTCCCTTTTTCCAGTTTACTTTTCCCCAGTCTTTATTAGAAATGATGTTAACCTTGACATAGTCATCTGAAGAGACATCTCTTCCGGTCATCATAAAGTTGAGACCACTCCTATTCTCCACTATAAAAGGAGAAGAGCTATCAAGGTACGTTTCATGATCTAATTGATCAATTCTCGATATCGGAACGTAAATAGTTTTTCAAAGTTCAACCTTTGAAAGTACGGAAGCTGCCACCGTTAAAAACTTTTGAATGTACTTATTTTCTGGGAACTGGATCATTCTTTCAAAAGTTTCTGGCTCTAAAGTATGCAAAAAGAGGTGCCCATTGTTAGCCCCTGACTTTCAGTTGAGTCCATAAATAGCTGTATAATAAGCCATTGATACGAATGATTTTGTGTAAGATTTGTGCTGAAATCCTTTCTGAGCTATCCCCATATAGAAGCCAATGTTTTTACCGGCTTTCTCTAATCTTTTAAGATGCTTATCAAGATCCATCGGATGGATGACGTCAAGGTGTTTGTTCAATAAAGTGATATCTTCGATATTAGTATCATTGAAGAAGATACTACTTTTATCAGCAGAAAGGCTGGAGTAGAGAAACTCAACGCAGAACGCGAGCTTAATAGTGTAGATCACTATGCTTCTGAGTTTGACATAATTCTTAGTCTTTGAATTTTCGTCCAAAAATTGTTTGAGCATATCATTCATTCCCTCAATTGCATTCATAGTGAGTTTTACAGCTGATACACATATGGTTTTCTTCCCTTTGAGGAACTCCTCAATGGTGTCTGGATTTATTGATGGGTAGAGCTCATACATTTTCTCCTTGGCTTTATAAATTTCTTCAATATCCCATTCGTAGTTGATTTCAAAATCTGTACCAATTTCTTCAATATAATCACAATTTTTGATTATGACATAATAAAGGACTTCTAAGCACCTTAACTTCTCGATGATTTCTGGAAGGGTTTCATGAATTTGTTTTGGAATATGAGAAATAAGCTGGTAATCCATTTCTCTCTCCATCGTATTAATCAACTCCTTCTCAGTAGTCATTTTCTCCTCGAGATAAGTCTTCATTAGGCCAAGAAGATCCTTTTCTGTATAAATATGCTGATATTCCAATGCCTCAAATAATCGAGGTGTTTTGGGGATGAAGGAGGAGCTTCTTAAAATCTTAAACTCATTGCTCAAAGAGTTACGCCTTGCATTCGCTCTCAAATAAAGCTCTTCATAAAGATTGTCCTTTTCGTCTTCAATGGCGGGCGTTGTAGAGCATCTGTTTTCTACTTCTTTGCACTCTTCCATTGTTTTTAATTTCAATTTTTTACATGAAATTAGGGGTTTTGGGGTTTTGGGGTTTTGGGG